GGTCTGTTTCCAGCCTTTTCTGTGTTGCTATTCTCCCTCTCATAAGCCTCTACTCATCAGGGTCTGTATGTTTTCAGGCCAGTGGAAATACAATGCCCTGGCCAACTGCCACTCCCCACACAGGAAGGGCCTGTGATGTGGGGAGGCAGAAATCCAGCCAGTGACCTAGGGCTCCTAAGGAGAGGTCATTCAAACCAATGCTTGCCAAATGTGGCCACTGGATCCTAAACAGTGGTGCATGCCTGGAGCTCCTTTGGCAACAGGAGTAAACCACAGCTGAAATCCTCTGAAATAAAAAGCAAACTCAAACTTGGTGCTAGAGAGAGAAACCAGGCACACAGGCCTTAGGGCTATGCTGAACAATTCGTGGTCAGCAAAGTATCTTTTACCACCCCCCCACCCCACGCCTGCCTTCAAATTACTTGTGGTGCACTGAGGGGTGCAATGGGGAACAGCTCTAGTCTGGATTAATAAATAGCTTCTGGAAAGCTAAGGCAGGCAATCCTTCTCAAATCCTGGAGAAAGGTGGTGTGAGCTTCACCCCAACCTTAGTCTTTATCATTGAACAGCATCCCCAGAACATTATGGAATTTTGGCAATCTTTATACCTTGTCTTTAGATGGCAACTCATACTGCTGACCTTCTGGTACCCAGAAGTCATGCCACAACTCCAGGTCAGTCACAGTTTACATTCCAGTTTGCCTCTGCTCAACTGTCCTCATTCTCATTGGCACAAACCATGCTATGCATTTGCTTTCCACACCACCCCCCATGCCACTTAAGTGCCTGCCCCAAGTCAAAACAAAGCAAAACAAAACAAAGCAAAAAAATTTTCCCTTTAAAAACTTCAGAGCTGCTAAAACTCTCGATAGACTAGGAATGGCAGGGAGTGATGTTTGTGGCTGGATTGGATCCATTTTTCCCCATGGGCTATAACAAAGGTTTCATTTTAAATCCTGACACTGTGCAGCACTCTCTCTGGATGGAAGTGGGGAGGGGGCTAGTACTTCTCATTACAAGAAGAGCAGAGTTCACTCTACAAGAAAAGCAGCCACGCTGGGCAAGTTTCAAGGCCATGTGTCTCTGTGTTGAAAGACAGTAGAGAGCCAGCATGGAATGACAGGACCCAAGTGTCACATGGGACATGTGTCTGAGAAAGCCTCTTCCCTGAGGTAAGAACTAAAACAGATCCATTAACACTCCAGGGGTCAGACTAACGTCTGAAATGAATACAGGTCAAATGTTCATATTTTCTTTATCAGAAATTTAAAAACAAAAATAAAATTAAAAAACCTCCCTTTGATTAGCACAACATAATTGAAAGAATCAACTGGTAAGAATGTAAATTAGTCTCCCACATCAAAAAAAGAGAATATGGCTCTTTCAGAACTCAGGAGGCATAGACAGGCAGATCTCTTTGAGTTTGAGGCTTGTCTTGTCTACAGTGCAAGTTACAGTCCAGCCAGGACTGTTCAATGAGACCCGGTCTTATAAAGAGAAACTGAGGTTAAGCGTGGTGGTGCACAACTTTAATTCCAGTACTCGGGAGACAGGGACAGGCAGATCTTTGAATTTCAGGCCAGCCTAGTCTACAGAGCAAATTCCAGGACAGCCAGGCCACACAGAGAAACCCTATCTTAAAAACAGAGGGGGAGGGGAGGAACCAAAAACTTGTTGGAGGTGGTAGGGTTACTCAGACAAAAATCCAGTGTTGTTAAGCAAAAAATGAGGAAAAAAGGTAACAATTAAAAGTCACCTATCCAAGGGGGCTGGAGAGATGGCTCAGAAGTTAAGAGCACTGACTGCTCCTCCAGAGGTCCTGAGTTCAATTCCCAGCAACCACATGGTGGCTCACAACCATCCGTTATGAGATCTGGTTCCCTCTTCTGGTGTGCAGATATACATGGAAGCAGAATGTTATATACATAATAAATAAATAAAATCTTAAAAAAAAAAAGTCACCTATCCAGAGGCAGGAAGATCTCTCTGAGTTCCTGGTCTACATAGTGAGTTCTATAACAGCAAGGACCATAATAGAGAAATCCTGTCTCAAACAAACAAACAAACAAACAACCAAAAGGTCACCTTTCCAGTATTCAGTAATGAGACTTCTATTTCCCAGATTTTTAGCCAAAATTCTTTTTGATTTTGGTTTCAAACTATAAGTAGTTTCATGTCTTTTTAAGAAACATCTTTACTCCTTATCTACATATTACAAAACATACTAAACTGACAGTATATAATTTATATATTTTAAGTGAATGTGTGTGTGCATGTACACACAAATGCACAACCCAAAGCTGTACGTGGTAGCACATATCTATAATGCTAGCTCTGAGAAGGCTAAGGCAGGAGGATAGCTGAGTTTGAGGCTAGTCTGAGCTATTACATAGTGAGACCCCGTCTAGACACAAAACCAAGAAAAATGGGGATAACCCACAAAATTTTGTTTTTACAAATACATATGTAAGCATGCAAAAAGGCCTTAAAGGACATCTAACCCAACGTCCAGTGTTCTCTCTTTGGAGAGCACAGTATGGAGGTGGGCATGAGGTGAGGCGGAGTTGAGAAAAATTTTAACCTTAGTTATAGTTTTGGGTTTTGTAAGAGTTTCTGGGTGTTACTTATGAAATAATTATAAAATTTAAGACAAGAAGAAAAGAACGTGGGCAACAACAATAAAGGGGGAGGAGGAGGAACAGAGAAACTGTCAGAAGCACCTAACGCACCCAGACACCTGGGGGCACCAGGGCACTTGATAGGCTGGGACTGGAGGCCTCTCTGAGTTCAAGGCCTGCCTGGGCTAGCTATGGAGTTCAAGAACAGCTGGGCTACAGTGTGAAACAAACAAATAAAAGAACAAAACAAAACCAACAAGAAGCATCTTCAGCAGCATTTCTTGTAAAGCTGCTATTGATTTTGTAATCATGTGAGGGAAACTTCAACACATATCCAGTAATTCTAAAGCAGTTTAATATGATTACTTTTGCGCGAGCGCGCGCGCACATACACACACACACACACAAATGACCCTAAAATATACACTGAACTTTACAGTTATTCTGTTACTGCTGGCCATTAAGAATATGAGGAACTGGGTGGTGGTGACTCGTGCCTTTAATCCCAGCACTCAAGAGGCAGAGGCAAGTAGATCTCTGTGAATTTCAGGCCAGGCAAGTTCCAGGACAGCCAGAGCTACACAGTGTCAGGAAAACAAACAAAATGCAAGTATGAATGACATTTTATTTTTTTCTTTTTGCTAAGTTTTCCAGATATTTTACAATCAACATCTATTAATACAAAAAAAAAAGTTCCTCTATCACGAATAGTTCTGAGTTTGGTATTTAAAGACATTTAGTAATTTTACAAATAAATTCAAAATACTTTAATTATTTAATTAATTAATTAATTAATTTAGTTTGAGACAGGGTTTCTCTGTGTTGCTTTGGAGCTTATCCTGGATCTGGCTCAGTAGACCAGGTTGGCCTTGAACTCACAGAGATCCGCCTGCCTCCACCTTCTAAGTGCTGGGAGTAAAGGCGTGTGCCACCAATCCCCGACTAATCCTTTATTTTTAAAGAACTCAAAATCTAAAATAAATATATGGGGTTTTTAATTCTAAGACGTTGGTGCAAATAAAATGACCAGGCAAGCAAGCACAAACTAAAGTGGTAACTTAACCAAGGAAATAATAGGAACCAAAATTTTCCAGTTGTCACAATTTAAGAGTCTACTCTGCCAGCTTCTGACCCTCAGTTGAGGCCAAGTGCAGCTCTGATCTGCTTCTCACTGGAAAAGCATCTTTATCTATCAGAAGCCTCCAGGCAACCCTGACTGATTCCTCTTCCAGAGTCCAAGAGGACTCCGTTCCTATTCTTTCAAACCTAAGAATATAGATAATTTTCACAGCATGCACTTCACTGACTCACGTGACTAACTTATGATCTCTAGAGACACCTTGTTTCATTTGGATGGCAGTTTCAAAAGACCAATCTTTCAGGCAACACTGAGACCCAGACTCAAGAATGCCTCAGACAGTGACTAACAGCACAGGCCCAACCACCTCAGACACTGAGGACTAGCTGGGCTAGACAACATTCTCTACAGAAAAGAAACAGGCTTCCTAACTTGATTCTCAACTTCTTAATTATTCAAATACTTAGAACAAAACAGGAGCAAAAAAAATTTTTTTTAATTAAACCATGCCACAGGGTTGAGATGAGAGAAATTAAACCATGCCACAGGGTTGAGATGAGAGAAATTAAACCATGCCACAGGGTTGAGATGAGAGAAATTAAACCATGCCACAGGGTTGAGATGAGAGAAAACATTATACTACTATAGAACAAAGGGACTAGAATGACCTTCAGCAATAATGTATTTAAGCCACTGCTAGGAGACTGAGGTGCACAAAATCTTCTGACTTGTTAACTCTAGAGGCCTTCTAACTAGCCTTTTTTTTTTTTTAATTATTGGCATTTAATCTCATTAAAACCTCCTGTCAACTGATGTCAACAGTAAGAAGACTTGCTTTGCACACAGTAGGCATTCGTATATACTGATACAACATTAACCCCAGGCATAGAGAGACCTAATCCAAAGGAATAGTGTCAGTGCTTTTCTGGAAAGGGAGGTGCAGCGTCTGCCTTCAGCTAGTCTGCATTACAATCTCCCGAGTCTTAATTCATTTTCAGCGCCTCCCACAATTCACATCTTCTTGTTAATTAGGCATCAGTCCATGATATTATATGTAGCTTGCACTCGATGTTTTTCTAGGCTTAAAGAGTTCTACTTTTGTTTTTCACTTTTTAAAACATTTTTAAAATTTGTGTGTGTGTGGGGGGGGGTAGGTGTACACGGAGGTCAGAAGAAGTCATCCAATCTCCTGAAGTTGAAGTTATATGTGAACTGGAATGAACCCAGGTTCTTTGCAAAACACTCAGCACTCAATAAGCCATCTCTCCAGCCTCTATTCTCCCCCCATCCTCCCTTTTAACAATAGGAATGTTACTGCTGTTTCTGTCTTGCTGAATTAGTACTGGGCTCAATTTCCTCTTATCTCAAAAACAGTATGAGTGGAATACTCATGCAGTGGAATACCAATGCATTAAAAATGAAGAAAATGTTTCACTTTTTTTTTTTTTTTTTTTTTTTTTGTTTTTTTTTTTGGTTTTTTCGAGACAGGGTTTCTCTGTGTAGCTTTGGAGCCTATCCTGGCACTCGCTCTGGAGACCAGGCTGGCCTCGAACTCACAGAGATCTACCTCCTCTGCCTCCCAAGTGCTAGGATTAAAGGCTTGCGCCATCAACGCCCGGCTTATTTTGTTTTTTCAAGACAGAGTTTACCTCTGTGTAGCTTTGGAGCCTGTCCTAGAACTAGCTCTTATAGACCAGGCTGGCCTCGAACTCACAGAGATCCGCCTGCCTCTGCCTCCCAAGTGCTGGGATTAAAGGCATGCGCCACCACTGCCAGTCTCCATGTTTCACCTTTTGTAAGACAAAACTGGATCAACTATTGGGGGGGAGAGGGGATTGAGGCAGCGTTACTCTGTGTAGCCTTGGCTGTCCTGGAAATTGCTCTGTAGACCAGGCTGATCTTGAACTCTGTCTCCCAAGTGCTGGGATTAAAGGTGTATACCATCACCAACTAGCTTCTCCTTTTAAAAAAAAAAATTGTGTGTATGTGTGTGTTGGTGCACATATGCTCCAATGATTGTATGGAAGTCAGAGAATAAATTGCAGAAGTCAAGATACCGCTGAGCTAGGTAAAGTTTCTGGCACTGGAGCATATGCTGGTAGTACCATGAAGAAGTTAAAAGTAACTAACACATGTAGTTTATTTTTACCAAGTAAATTACTCCACATTTCTTTCTAGTAGTAGAAATTCTTTATCTCTTAGAATTTTTCCAATTTTCTCAAGTCATTTCAAAATCTAAAATATCCTTGAAATGACCAAAACTGTCACTCTTTCTCAAGATGATGCCAGATGAGTACACATGAAACACACTGCTACTCACAATTCATAAGAAGATGGTTTTTCAAACAGGACAAAACCTTTCAGCATCTCAAAAGAGTAAAAGAAAAGTATATGGAAACTAACATGACTCCTATTTTCCTGAAGATAACCTACAACACTACAGATAAACTTACAAATTCATGGCAAAAAGTAAAAGTAAAATGCCATAACAGGATATTTACAATATTTACAATATGTAAATACAAATTTACAATATGAAGCCAATCACATCAAAGGGAAGCTCATAATAAAACTTCTAATTTAGAAAATATTAAAACCCAACAGGAATCCAGGTATGCTGGTATACTTGGGAATTCCAGCACTTAAGAAGCTGAGAGGCAGGAAGGCCACCAAATTCTAAGCCAGCCTAGACTACACAGGAAGACCCTGTCTCAAAAAAAGCAAAACCAATCAAACAAAAATCAAGCAGCAGCTGGGCTTTGGTGGCGCACACCTTTAATCCCAGCACTCGGGAGGCAGAGGCAGGAGGATCTCTGTGAGTGCAAGTGCCAGGATAGGCTCTAAAACTACAAAGAGAAACCCTGTCTTGAAAAATGGAAAAAAAAGAAAAAAAAAGTCAAGCAGCAGACCTGTCTGGAAGGGCTGCTAGTTCTTCTCGTCAATGTCCTTTACCCAGGAAGGTCAAAAAACAGAGACACTCAGCACAAATCTCCTTTGAAAAAAGGCACTGTCAGCTGGGTATGATGGTACAGGCCTTTAAACCTAGCACTCAGGAGGCAGAGGCAGGTGGATCTCTGAGAGTTCGAAGTCAGCCTGGTCTACAGAACAAGTTCCAGGACAGCCAGTGCTACACAGACAAACCGTCTTGAGAAACCAAAAGAAGGCACTGTCAAGCTTTTGGATGATGAATTTTACTTTGTCAGGAAAGATTCTTCTGACGCACCAGAGGAACACTCAAAACTCTTCCCAGGAACTTAAGGGTGAAATACTAACTTTCTACACAAACTGCCTTCCCCAGGACTTCCCATGGACAGGTAAATCCATGGAGGATTTAGGATTTACTAAGATCAGCAATGTGGCACAGGGGATGAAGCACAGAGGAAGGGGGATGGGTTGTTTTTGAGGAGAAATAAGGAAATAAAATTTTTCTCAAGGAGGACCCCTGGCAGCTGTACCCAGGGATGTAGCATGGCTCTCTCAGGCTCACTAAGGGCTAACCAGAAGACAGTAGTGACAGAAAGCCAAGGGGACAAGAAGTGGGGCTGGGAAAGCACTGTCCTTAAAGTTTTAGCAAAGGAAGGGGATAAAGAGACGATAGAGAGTGATATCTCTCAAACTTCATGAGCACAGCAGGAAAGAGAGTGAAGAGAAGGTGGAGGCTTCTGAGAATTCACACCCTGTGCCCTCAGTTACAAACACAAGCTAGTTGCTAACAATATTAAATTCCAAAACGACTTGTAATGTAGGGAAATAAAATAAACATCCTGCACACTTACCCAATCCGGGTAAACAGCTTCCCATGGGCATGGAGAAAACTGAGGATGAACCTTTTGTTCAGCTGCATGGGAAAAAGGGAGAGGAGAAAACAATTAAACTTTCCCCAGTTTCCTGTTACTGAATACAGTCCCCAGTGACACAATAACCTGGCCAGGGTCTAAAGGGGTGGGCACTGGGGATGGGAACCAAATGGACATGCCCAAACTCTCACACAGGCCCAGGGCACATGCCCAACAGCTGCAGTTCAGCAGAGCCAAGGTAACAGAAGGCTCAGTGAGTGGACAGCACCCTCTGCTGGCAGAGGCACCCCAGTACAGAAATGGAAGCAGGGAATCTGAACTGAGCAAGTTACAGAGGACGATGCCTCCTCCTTTCTGTGGGATCCAGAAACCACTACTGGCTCCTTAATAATGGGAATGAAATTCTAACAAGAATAGAGTAAGTGATTTTAGAGAAATTCTTGATCCTATTTATGAGCTTTTTTTTTTTATCTATGTAGGAAAGCAGGTCTCTTTGACAACTAAGGTTAAGGTATTCTCGACTAACCTCCCTCAACAACTACTAGCTTTTGAAACTGGAGTTCCTTTCTGGATCAGGAGCTGAAGACTAGAGCATCTACAGAGACCAGGCATAAAGTAGGCTGGTGGTGACAGCAGGAATCTCTCTCTCCAGTCCCCACAAACGCTCTAAGTAGAACCAAGTGGGGAAGTGGAATATGGGTTTTTATATAAAATGTTCTGGTTTTTAAGTATTAACTACAAATAAAAATTATGTGAACATTAGGTAACTCCCAACTTGCTTGTCAGCCACATGTAGCCTATGAGCCATCAGTTTGTAATTCTTATTCAAGAATTCTAGAAAATCTATCTCAGTCAAAACTAAGATAATTCCTTTCACAAAATAAGGGGAGAGGGATTGAATTGACTCCAAAGAAAGTAAAAACAATTTAAAGAATCAATCCCACTATCTTCCCTGATCTCCTAAAAATAATATTCTATAGTCTGCCAGGAGGGAGAGTTGACACTGTTGACTTCCATTAAGAGAGGTGGCATGAGACTCTAATCCCAGCAATTGGGAGGCAGAGTCAGACAGATCTCTGTGAGTTCAAGGTCATTCTGGTCTACAGAGTGAGTTCTAGGACAGTCAGGGCTACATGGTGAGACCCTGCCTCAACACACACACACACACACACACACACACACACACACACACACAGTTGGGTGGTGGTGGTGCATGCCTTTTATCCCAGCACTTGGGAGGCAGAGACAGGTGGATCTCTGTGAGTTGGAGGCCAGGTTGGTCTACAGAGAGGAGTTCCAGGACAGGCTCCAAAGCTACAGAGAAACCCTGTCTTGAAAAAACAACAGCAACAAAAAATTAAGGAATTCTGATTGCAAGTGGGAAATTAGTGGGCCAGCAAAAATGACTAGCAAATAAAGTTGACTGCCATTAAGCCTGGAAACCTGAGTTCAATCCCCAGCACCCACACGGTAGAAGAAGAGAAACAACTCCCACAACTTAGTCTCTCAACACCAGATGAGCAATCAAGCCCAGTAATTAGATAAATAAATGTAAAAAAAAAAAAAGCAGAGGGTGACTACTAAAATAAGAAATAAATTCAATAGCCCCGGATAGTTTACTGCCCCCCACCCACCCAAATAAGAACTTCTGGGTCATCGCCCTGCAGATCAGAACACTACTAAAATTATGGCAGTTCTATCTCTTTCATACAGAAATGAGATGTAGCAACGATTTCAACATCTAACTTGGTGAATAAACTTCCATTTTTATTTTTGCCTTAAGTGAATTACACTGAACAGCTATTAAAGAGTGAAATGATGATGTGTACAGTTTAAAAACTCAAGCTACTTTACAGCACACTGTGTCAAGGTCAGGGACAGTGGGAAAGGTTTAGCAACCATTTTTACCAAAATTAGCAGCAAAACCTTGAATAGAGTACAGCTCTCAAGATCTTGTAGGAGAGAAGGATGGTGCAAACAAGGACTGCCTTCCCATCAAACAGACTTGTATTTAATTCTTTCTAGATCATTTACTTACCTGCTGTGTGGTATCTTAGGCATTGATCCCCATCCCTTCAGACCTAGTCTTACTATATGGCCCAGACTGGCTTTGAATTTGCAATTTTCCTGCCTCCAACTCCTCAATGCTGGAATTCTAGGCAAGTACCACACCTATCCTATTTCTTTAGAACTTTTCTATAGGTATGAAATCATTTCAAATAGAGGGATAAAAACATTCATTCTCTATTCCTATTTTAGCTTAAGCTTAGTTATTTCTCTTCTCACAGCTATCAATTACACAATCCTCTATAACTTTTTGTTTTGTTTTGTTTTGTTTTTATTTTTATTTTCTGGAGACAGGGTTTCTCTGTGTAGCTTTGGAGCCTATCCTGGCACTTGCTCTGGAGACTAGGCTGGCCTCAAACTCACAGAGATCCACCTGCCACTGCCTCCCGAGTGCTGGGATTAAAGGTGTGCGCCACCAACGCCTGGCTTATAACTTTCTTACATTTATATGTAAAGGATATTTTAGTAGAAAGAGAATTATTAGTAGTTCACTAATCCAAGCCTAATGTCATCCTTTAAGTCCTAAGGGAAGCCCAACATGTAAGCTGCTTTAAAGAGAAGAGTTAGAATTTGAATCCAGGTCTTTAGACTCTAAGTACTATCTTCCTTCTCTTAATGGGGGGGGGGTGACTGGGAGGGGGGGCTGGACTTGTGAACTGACTCAATGGGGAGTGAATGAGAACAACTGAAAAGCAATACATTTGCTTTTAATTTTTTTCCCTGAATGGATAGGAAACACTGAACCAGAAAGTTACCAGAATAAAGTGAAACACCCAAGAGATTTTGGAACATCCTGGCATTACCCATACTTTCTAAGGGGTCTGTTTTTTTTTCTTTAAGATTTATTTTATTTGTTATGTAACCGTGTTCTGTCTGCATGTTTGCCTACAGGCCAGAATCGAGCACCAGATCTCATTATAGATGGTTGTCAGCCACCATGTGGTTGCTGGGAATTGAACTCAGAGCAACTAGTGCTCTTAACCTCTGAACCATCTCTCCAGCCCATAAAGGGACTTTCTTAAGATAGACAAATCATTTGAATCTGTATTTGTTACATATATATATCAAACCCATATGGATATATACATATGAGAGAGAGAGTTGTTGCCCACCTGCCCTCCACACGGTTTCTCTGTGTAACCTTGGCGGTCCTGGAACTTCCTCTGTAGATCAGGTTAACCTCAAAGTCACAGATCTACCTGCCTCTGCCTCCCAAATGCTGGGATTAAAGGCGTGAATCACCACTGCCCAACACTACTATTATATTTTAACTGCATCTAATAAAGAAAAATAAAGTCTCACTGGTATTATTTTTCAACTAAAGGAAATAAAGGTAATTTTAGAGAACCTTTTGTTCTTTTGTTGATTTTGTTTGTTTGTTTTTGAGACAGAGTCTCACTATATAGCTGTCCTGGAACACACAAAAATCTACCTGCCTCTGCCTCCGCCAGGAGCCCCAGCCCTGGGATTAAAGTTGTACACCACTGTGCACTTTTTTTTTGGTTTTTCAAGACAGGGTTTCTCTGTGTAGCTCTGGCTGTCCTGGCACTCGCTCTGTAGGCCAGACTGGCCTCAAACTCACAGAGATCCACCTGCCTCTGCCTCCCGGGTGCTGGAATTAAAGGTGTGTACCACTGCACAGTTGTTTTTTTTTTTTTTAAGAGAACTTTAATTTGAAAGTATATATACACTCTCTCTCTGACCTTGAGAACTAATGTTTTATTTTCAGTCTAAAGCATCTGTTACCCTAACTCTTGTTCCACTTTGTTATCACTAAAACCACTTTAGTTCAGGAAAGGAAGTAAAACTGTAGGCGTATCACAGAGGTAAATCATGCTGCCCAGAGACAGCAATGCTACACACTGATCAAAATGAGCCTTAAACATTCACAGATGACAATATAAAGTCAGTTAGCACTGAAGCAGGATCTTTGGAGAACTCAAAAAACAAACAAAAAACACAGAGAGATCAAACCCAGGGCCTTGCATAGGGGAGGCAAGTGGTCTATTACTGACTTACAGTCTTTTGAGAAAGGTTCTCATTAGTTCAGACTAGTCTTGAACTTTTAATTCTCTCTGCAAGAGTAAGATTATGGGTGACCCTGAGGAACTCATAACTGAAACCAAGTTATGGTTTCAGAAAAACTTGGGCATAAGCTTTTCTCTCCATTACACATTACAACAGCCTGACTTCCACTTCTGCAACTTGTTTTTATTTTCTGCTTATGTGTATATGTCTGTGCAAGTACGTGCAGGTGCTCTGAGAGGTCAGCTAGTTACAGACATTTGTGAGCTACTTGACATGGGTTCTGGGAACTCAAGTTCTCTAGAAGAGGGCCAAGCACTCTAGAACTCACTATAGACCACTGAGCTATCTTTGAGCCTCTTTCCCCTTTCCCCTTTTTTGAGACTGGGATTCACTATGTAACCCTGACTGACCTGGAAATCTGTAAATCAGACTGGCCTTGAATTCATAGGGATCTACCTGCCTCTGTCTCTGCCTCCCAAGTGCTAGGATTAATTGCTTCCTAAATACTGGGATTAAAGGAGTGCATTACCATGCCAGGCTTTCTGCAACTTATTTTAATATACAACTAATTAGAAAGAAATGTAAGGCTATCTGCCCCTAGGTCATTCTCATACATCTGCCTACTATTCACCAGAAACTAAAACTGCTTCTTGGGTATAGTCCCTAGAGACAGTGTGGACTCCTAGGCTTACCCCCAAACAGACACTAATGACAGTAGGTGTGTGGGTTACGTCTCCAGAATGAAGTCTGTCTGCCATTAACTGAGATTCTGAATTTAAAAAAAAAAAAAAATTGTTCTTTAGCTGTACTTTGTTATACTGTACAGCTGTACTGTCACCCCTCCATAAACACACTTAAAATGGAGTTTATACTAGTGATATTACCTAGGTCATCAATGAAAAGATTATAAAATACAAATAAAAGAATTCTTTGCCAGGCGGTGGTG